GAGCACTTAGTGTTCACTCTGGGTGAGCTGGGGTCTGCGCGGGGGGTCGGGGGGGGGAAGGGGGTGGTCTGAGTTCAGTTTTAACAAGACTCTCTGGCTGTACGTGGAAAACGGGCTGCAAGGGGGCGGGGAGGCCTGTAAGAAGGTCACTACAAGGGTCCAGGTGGCAGATGACGGTGGACTTGACCAGGTGGCAGCTGGGTGGGTGGGCAGGGGACAGGGTCAGTTTCAGGATACGTTTTGAAGGTGGAGCAGGCAGGATTGACTGAGGGAGGGACTGGGGGTAGAGAGGAGAGAGAGAGAGAGAGAGAGAGAGATCGTCCAAGTGGAGATGAAAAGAGGTAGTTCGGGCACAAACCCGAGGTTCATGGAAGAGGTCAGGGCTTGAGAAAGAACTGTGGTTTCAGTGCAGTGTTGCCCCGTGAATAAGTCACATGGGGGGCCGCCACATAGCCCCTCTAGGATCCTAGACTCCGTGACGCCCAGTCCAGGGGCCTCCTCTCTCCCAGCAGCCCCCTTGCCGCTGTCCCAGCCCCGTCCCCACCGACCCCTTCTCCACCTGCCACCCCTGCTCTGCTCAAGTCTCTCCCATGGCTCCCTACTACCCTCGGGGGGGGGGCATTCAGGGTCCTTTCTGACCTTCAACCTTTCTAGACTTTTCTATTATTCACTCCCCGCCTCCACTGGTTCCCCAAATGCCCCATCTACCCTCCTGTACCTGTGCTGTGGCCCTTGCTGAGCAGCTCCCGGGCAGGGGAGCGTCCGCGGAGGCTGCCGCGCCCCAGGTTCCTTGTTCAGCGCGCATGCGCGTGTCCTGAATCGCACGCCGTTCCTGTTCCTTCCGCCCGGGAGGCCTGTCCCGCCCTCCGCCTCTTGCGATCCTGCTCTGTTTCTCACTAATTAATAGCAGTGACAACAGCAGCGGCGGCAGCAGTTGCGGGCTTTCTACACATCTCGCCGTTGAATCCCTGAAGAACGCTATCAGAGAGCTTCCTCACCTTTTCCCGGAGAGGAAACTGAGTCCCAGAGAGGGGACACAGCTCGTCCAGGATCCTACGGCCAGGAAGCAGGGAGTGGGGCTCCGCCGACCCTGCCCTCTGTCCGCAGCCCTCCCCCACCCACCCTGGGCTCCGGGGAAAGGTCACCTCCCCCCCTCGCCAAGCCCTGACCGCCAGCCCAGGGGACCTCTGTCATCCGCCACCCACGGGGCGCACCGCACGCCCCCACCTGCACTGGCGCAGAGCGGGAGCTGGGGCCGGGTGCCTGGAGCCTGTCTTCAAGGGGCGCATCTCCCAGGACCGCTCTGGTGATTCCTGTAAGGACCTCACGTTGGAGACCGGTCTGGGCTCACTCAACAGCACCCCTTTCTTCCTGGGCAGCCCACCCCCTGAGTGAGCTGCGGCCTGGCAGATGGTGGTGCAAGTGGGCCCAGAGAGGGCGAGTCACCTTCCTGGGGTGGCCTAGTAAACTCTGATGAAGCAGGATGGGGCCTCACCGTGGCTCCCGAGTCCAGACCTCCCTCACGCTTCACGTCTAAGGCTCTTTGGCTGGAAAAGAACGTGAAGTGTCCCCTCCAGCCACACAGCTTTCTCTGTGCGTCCCAGAAATGGGTCTTCCAGCCCCTCTCTGGTCCTTGGCCCTACACAGGCCGACAGCAGGATGGCCTGTCTTCGTCCGTGAGGGAGGAGGGCTCTCGCTGACCTCCCTGTGGGCTGGGGTGAAGAGAGCGGCCTCCGGAGGCCACTGCTGGTTTCAGACCCGGGTTCGGCCTCGTCCCTGCTGTGACTCTGCGCTTGAGTTATTTGCCAATTTTCAGGGTCAGTTTGCCCATCTCTAAAATGGGCATAATAACAATAGCACCTGTTAATGGAGAGGTTCCTCATTCTGCACAGCGCTGGGCACACAGCCCCCAGCGTGTGGGGTCTGCAGGTTGAGCGAGCTGGGGCCCGGCTTCCGGTGGGCGAGATGGCGCCGCCTCTCTGACCGCTGAGCCGGCCCAGAACCACCGCTATTCTCCGAGCCTGCAGCTGGGGCCGCCTCCACTCCGGAACCCTGGGCACCGGGCCGTGTCTTTTCTTCTTCTTCTTTTGCTACTTTGCAAACTCCTCTTCCTCGTTCTGCTCGCAGGGAGTATCTGTGCACCCAGCAGGCCGAGCTGGATTACCTGTCAGGGCGCCACAAGGACACCCGCAGGAATTCC